ACGGCTGAGCTAAATCCCCGGGCCCAAAAGTGCTTTATTTTTTGAAAGATCAATTCTTCCAGAAACTCCCTTGTATATCCACAATGAACAAGATATGCGCTAGTCATCCTGAGAGACTCGAAGAAGACTTAGGTCTGGCTTTCTCTGAAGTGTGAAGAATGAATACTCTTACAGCCTATAATAGAGTCACAAAAGTTATGAGAGGGGTAAAAACTGGTTGTGGAAATGCAAAAGAGGAGCAGTGGTAGCTGCTCATAATTTAATAAACCATAAAATTAGCCAAAAAAATCTAAACAATCATATTTGGATAACTAGTTCTCCAAACTGGCGATTTTCAAAGTATGGTCCCTAGAGTAGCAGCTTTAATGGCATCTGGAACCCTAATAAAAATGCAGATCCCCAGGTTGAATCATAGACCCATCAAGTCAGATAGTCAAGAGGTGAGTTTTCAGTAAGCTGTGCTTTGGCAATCTGCAGGTGATTCTGATGCAGAAAAAAATTTAGAAAACTACTATGCCAAGAGAGATTTTCATATTCTTTAACACTGCACTTATTTAAAAATAATACAATACAGCTCTACAGAATTGTCATGGGTATCTCCAAAGATTATTTCTCAATATAAAAGCAATCACCAAACACAGCAGATAGTAGTGTGTGTTTAAAATATATGTACTTAGATGTTGTGTAAGCCTGAGATGTCTCCAGAAGAATGTTTATGAAATTGGAGAAAGCAAAGGAAATGGAATAATGCCAGAAGGAAAAATTAATTTTAATTTTCCATTCTATTTTGCATTTAAAAATTTGGGTCACAAGTTTCTAATTCCTGCTTACAGAAAGAAATTAATTTTGAAAGAATAGGAAATATACTCATAAACTTTAAATAATGATTTTGCTTTCAATATAAAATAAAAGTATATGCCTTTCTTGTACTCACAATTTAGAAATATCAATAACTTCATATCCCAGTGAAATCCTTAAGCAGGAAACTGTATGTAGCAGTTTTAAAGTTTAACTTTAAAATATTAAATGTATATTAGAGTAACATACACATTAAACATATAACCATAAAAGAACATTTGAAAATTTATGAAAAATGAGAGAAAACATAGCTGATGCACAATTACTGATACAGTTCCTCAAAGCCTTTTTACCATAATAATTTTAGGGCTTAAGGGTATAGCTCAGTGCTTGCCTAGCATATGGAAGGCTCTGGCTTTGATTCCCATTAACACAAAAATAATTATTATTTTGGTGAGAATTTGTCAATGTCATTTTTAATCAGTGTCCATGAAATGTTTTTTAGCTATTTATTTGATGTTATTTTTAATCATAAACCCTAGCATTCTAAATTGATACATAGTACTCGTAGAGAGGGAATATTATAATGTCATGTCTTATTATTTGATACTTATCTTGTTTGTGTTTTATTTTTCCTATTCTAGATAGTACAGTGGTGAACATTTGGGCACTTAAAATATGTTTATGGTAAAATTAGTTTTGTTTGTAAAATTACAAAAATAAAATTATTACAACAAAAGTTAATGTTCCTATTTTCTTACAAAAGGGTGAATTGGGTTATTTTACTAAATAATATATTAAAGTCCTTCACATATCCTTCTATTTACAATAAGCAAAATATTTTTCTTAATTTATACTACTCAGATTGAATCCTGATAAGGTCTTTTTGATATCATGTAGGAAGAAAAAGATGAAGAGGGAAAAATTCAGTATACCTCACAACATAACAGTCAACTTCTCTGAAATCAAAATTATATATAAGAGCCATGCAAAGAATTTTAACAATAAAAGGAACCTTTAGAGTAACTCATCTTTTTTATGTTTCTATATGGGAAAGCTAAGATACCAATAAAGATAAACTACTGAAAGTCAAATACTTAATTACCCACTATAAATCCTTTATTTGAAAGTAATTTGATATGTATTTCTACAGTTCTTACGTCAGTACAGTATAACTAATAAATCACCCTATTGTTTCATTCTTTAGTCTTTGGTCATTTGAAAACTAGTAAAACCTATGAGGTCATGAATAATCAAGGACAGAGAATTTATTTTGCAGAAGAGAGAAATAACAGGTTCCTCCTATACCTTTGCGGAATTTCAAGGCCTTTTACCATGACAATTTATGGTAATGTAGGTCAAGATATAATTACTATGAATAAAGCTCTAAGATGCAGTTGTTGCTGGAGTAGCTGCTGCCTACAAAAGGTCAGTAATTTTTTTGTATCACATGATTTAGTATTTAAGTACATTCAAAAAAGCCTCTACAGTGAGCAGTATGATAAAATTCAAACACTGGATTTAGTTACAAAAAATTCCCTGGAATAAAAAGCATGAGAAAGAATTAAATTTTCCGACCACATATCTGTGGAGTGAGAATTGTTAACAATACTGTAAGGTTCTTTACAGGAAATGAAGGTCACAAGATCTTTAGACTTTGTTTTATTTTTTAATTCTAAAATATCTAACAATTCATTCGTCTTCATTTTACATATACACGTTTTTTGTTAAATATATATATGTAATTAATCTATGTATATTTGCCATTTATCATTTGACCTTGCAAAAATCACTTATAAATTCAAGCAGCTTTTTGGTAGATTTTAAAAATTGTTTTTACTCTTATGTAATATGGAAATATAGGGCCAGAGATTTAGCTCAGTGGCACCATGCTTGCCTCCTCAGAAAATATAATTTTACTACTTTTGCCATTTGTATATTTTATATTTGTACAAATACAAAAATGTAGGTATTTCTCCATTGACATTTGTGATGGTTAGGAACTCTAATACAATGTTCAACAAATGTAGGAGAAAAGATAGCCTTAACTTTTGTCATGACCATGGAGGGGGAACAAAAATCAGTCTTTATCATGAAGCATGTTATCTGTCAGTTTTTGGAAGATATCCTTTATCAAGTCTATTGTTTACTTTCTAAATTTTAAGATATATGTGTAGCTTTCTATTTTTTACTTTGCATTCAGTAGAGAAAATTCTTTGTATTGTTTCAGTATTTCTAAACTTACTACAAATGTTTTTAAAATATTTTCCTAATGCATATTTGTGGTACATAATGACTGCATTCTTCACAGACAGTTGGTACATGTGTAATGCATCTTCATTCTTTCTTCACCCTCCTCTTTCCCTCATCACTATCTCCATCTATGGATTCCCTTCCCTTTCGCAAAAAAATCTATTTCTCTATTTCGTGCTATCTATATTTTATTTTGCTTTTTATATCTTTATATCATGTGATATTTAAACTTGTGTCTGATTTATTTTACTTAATATTATGATGCATCCATTTTCCTACGAATGACTCAAGCTTATCCTTCTTTATGGCAGAGTAATACTCTATCATATATAAATACCACACTTTTTAATCCATTAATCTGTTGATGGACCTACATTTCTGGTGGGAACGTAAACTAATACAAGTATTATGGACCATTCCTCCAAAAAACCTAAAAATAGTAATTCCATTTTACTCAACTATTCCTCTTCTAGGATTCTTCATAAAAGTGTTAAAGGCATCATTTTATAATGATACACCCATGTCCATGTTATAGCAGCACAATTCATAATTGTTCGACTTATCAAGAATTATTGTTTAAACTAACATATGGCCTAATTTGTGGAATATTCATATGGATCTGTAAAGTGTGTATGCTGTGATTGTTGAATGAAATATTTTATAATGTCATTTAGCTCAAGAATGCTACTGGATTCATCAGATACCCTATTTGTTTAGTGATTTTTCTGCCATTGTTCTATAGTGTAACTGCATAACAAATTATCCCCAAATTTAAAGATTTTGCTTCAATTTTAAAGATTTATTATTTTACACTTGCCTCAGTTCAAATACTACAAATGGCTTAGCTAGGAGGTCTTGGTTCATAGCTTCTCATAATGTAGCAGGGGCTCCCATTTGCATAATATTTCCCTGAGGATAGAAAATTTTTTCCACAATGGATCACTAAATCACTAATGGAAGATGGTCTCATTTCTTCCTTGAGTATTGGCAGGAGGCCCTGATTTTTTGGCATGATTTGATTTTCAGTAGCTTGACCATTATGTAGTGAGGTGTAATTACCTTTATATTCATTCTATTCAGTTTGATGAGCTTCTTATAATGTGAATGTGAGTATTTTCACCAGTCTTTGAATTTTGAGCCATAGTTTAAATGTATTACTCTCCCCATACTCTTCCCTTTCTGTGTTTTTAGTTACAGATGTTAGTTTGATATTTTCTCATACTTTGCTAAGTTATTGCTCATTTTGAAATCTTTTTAAATTCAGTTGTACAATATATATAATATATACTATATAATATACACAATATATTATTGCATATATACAATATATAAAATATTCAATATATATATATATAATTAAAAAGTACATGGTAGCTGGAGAAATGAATAAGGGCAAAAATAAATTTGTGGTAACAATAGTGACCCAAAACCATTGATCTGAAATACTTGTAAAAATCTAAATAAATAAAGATTCAAGTAACAAACCTTCTGCTCTGACTTGTTCAGACTTTGTGAGTCCTTGCCAGCTCCTGGTAGATCGCCTTGCACACATGTAATGTGTCTTCTTGAGATAACTGGAAAGACTGCTCCAAGGCAAGGCGCTTGCAGTCCTGGAACACAAAGACTCCATAGTCATTGTCATTTTTCTCTTGTGGAGCACACTTCCTAATGAAGGGAAATTCCACGTATCTCTGCTCCTATTCTTTTCATTAGCTGTTAGTCCTGTGCAGATAATTGCCCCATATTCTTCTGTCACAACTTTCCCCAACATTTAGTTCTCACAGTTAGAATAGTGGCACTGGTGTACCCTGTCAGTACAGGTAGTCACTATGTAACATTGTGTTCAGTTTATTTTCATTTATTGCATCTTGGTTTTCAGCACCTCGCTTCTAGACTAGTTTGCCAAGAAAGGCTCAAAGTAATAACATCCCCTGACCTTTCAGGCTCATAAATTTGTTGAGAGCCTTTCTGGGTAAACTTAATTATGTTGGATATAAGTTTATTGGTTAATATTTTCATTCCTTGAATATTTAAAATGTTAACCCATTGTATCGTGGTATACAAAATAGGTTATTAACCAAGATTCTGTGGTCTGATTTTGTTCCCCTGTAGGTAATGTGACTGCAAGGTTCAAGTCACCTGGAATAATTCTGTTTTAAGTATATTGTCCATATGTGCTAATAATGCCCTGCTTCTCTTTCTAAAGTCACTCAGATATAAAATAGGTGACATAATAAGCCTTTTTATATATTTATAATCTTCTTGGTTTTTTTATTACACTTTGAAGGGCACTTTTCACCTTCTTTTTTACATTTTCATAGTCTCCAAATCATGTCTTAGTACTGAATATTTGAGGCTGGTTTTCTTCAGGGATGTCCTCTCAATTGATAGATGAGCTGTTTTCCTTTTATTTAGAGAAGTTTTGTTGATGAACAGATTTGGATATACAATTTCATTATTTTGTTTTTCTCCTTTTGAGACTCTTACACATTTTTAGCTTTTATCCCCATCTCCTGTATCATTATAATTCAGTGGTATCTGATTTGTGTTCCTCCTACATTTTTATTTCTAACTGAATTTTTCTTTTTCTTAAAAAATATTTTCTAAGCTCTGAAATTTTCTTCCATATTCTCGTTTTTCTGTCTTTGTCCCTTTGTCACTACAGTTCTGAATTTTTCTAATTCTTGCTTATATACCTTATTCATATCTTCTATCATTTGTAAAAGTTTATTTCAAAGTTAACATTAGGTAAACCTTTATTTTTTGAGGGCAGGTTCCAGTGTAAATTTATTTTCTGTAGAAGTATTATCTGAACACTATTCTCTTTTATTATAACATCACTGAATGTTAATATCAACATAGGTTTAATATTATGTTTGTGTTTCTCATATCTGCTCATTGTAGGGTTTTTACCTGCTTACGTTTTGCAGTTTTATCATATTGCATGCTATATTTTTACAAAAGCGTGGATTTCTCTTCTATTTTTATTGTGAAATGCTGGAAGTATTTAACATTTCTTTTTTTAATTGCGTTTATTGGTACATTTTAGGGATACAGTACAGTTACATTCATCATTGGGATCTTGTACCTTCACATGACAGGTCTTGGTTCTCATTTTTTCCCCTTGTCCCTGCCCTCCCTTAACCCCCTCCTCCCTTCCCTATTTACAAACACTGTATTTCCATTTTTTCATTTTCTCATATTTTTTTATTTTCCCTTATTACCTTCCCCCACCCTTCCCACTTTCCCTACACTTTTATTTAGCCTTTTGCTTCCTATTTCACATTGTCAATTATCTCATTAGGATCTTATGTACTATTATAGTTTTTTACAACACTGAGATTCCACCTCACCCCATAAAGAATGGCTGCTATCAAGAAATCACACAATAACAAATGTTGGCGGGGGTGTGGAGAGAAAGGAACCCTTCTCCTTTGTTGGTGGGAGTGCAGACTACTGCAATCACTATGGAAATCAATATGGAGACACCTCAAAGAGTTGGGACTAGAGGTTCCATTTGACCCAGCCATCCCTCTGCTGGGTATCTTTCCAAAAGAATTAAAAGAATCATATCACAGTAATGTATGCATGCCTACATTTGTAGTGGCACAGTTTGTAGTAGCTAAAACTTGGAAACAGCCCATTTGTCCATGAGTTGGAGACTGGATAAAGATGTGGTTTTTCTATAAATGGAATACTACTCAGCCATAAAGAATGAGAAATTAGATTTATTCATAGGAAAATGGATACATATTGAGAATATACTCCTAAGTTACATAAATAAGTCACACATGTGTAAATACCTAACAGTGACCTTATTTCTTTAACCCATATCCTCCTGTCCTGCTCAGTTTTCATTCTAACCCCAATGTCTGGACAGTGCAAGCTTTGCTTGCATTTTGGATTATTTAATGAATCCTTATGGATGGACTGCTTCATCACAATTCAAATTTCCCACAGCAGGCTTACAAATTAGGAGCTATTTTGTTCCATCCCATTTTCAGCTGCATTTCTCTAGCTAATTCTGTGAGCTTTTATATTGAGATGGCTTTGTCTGTTTGTTTGGTACTGAGGATCAAACTCAGGACCTTGCACTTCCAAGGCAGGATCTGTGCCACTGAGCTAAATCCCTAAACTTTCATTTTTGTAAGGAATACTTTGTGGTGTCTGGATTTCGTGGGTTTTTTTTTACTTGCTTCAGTATACCAACTTGTATTTTGAGTCTTGGTGCTGTTTTTCCTTTATAATTTTTATAAAGAATTTGACAGTGGTTTTTGTTTTCTTTTGCAATTGTATTTGTTCTTTTGTTCTTATGGGAATTTGGGGGACATTCACAAACAATACCATGATTATTACCTTCATGATTTGTTGGGCTTCATTTATTTTTTGAATGAATAATATCTACATTTAGAAAAAGGTTTTTAAAAAAGGAGAAACAAGGAAAGAAGGCAAGCACAAAGAGAGGCAGGGAAATAGAGAAGGAAATGGGAGAATAGATGTATAACTAAGAGAAACAATTTCTCTCAAATGCTTATTTCCTAGGCCTCTTATCCCTCTTCTGATACAACTAATATTTAGAGATTTTTTAATGTATGTATCCTTCCCCAGTTATTCTATTAATACTTGTTTAATATATGTATGTTTGTGTTACGAGAGAGTTTTTAAGACAATTAGAATACTCTGCAATCTTCACACATAAGAATAACACTTGAAGACTATCAGTCTGCATAGAGCTCCTTCATTCTTGTAAATAGCTGCATGATGACCCATTCAACCAAACTCTGTGGATTCTGAGGAGCTAGACTTTTAAATAACAATGAGGACAAAGAATCCCAATGAATTCCAATTTTCACTGTCAAAGAGTTATGAAATACTTAGACATATTGGGTAAATAAACAGCTTTTGTTGTCATGGAGTTTAAAGCATATCTCAGAGGAGTGGCAATTTATAAAATGATCCTCATACCTAAAGAAGGAGACTATTACTTTTCCTCTTTTGCAAATGTAAAGGGAATTTCACAGACTTGTCACTTTTCCACATTTCAAGCTTCTAGTAAGCAGCAAGTCAGGGCTTAATTCAGGGGTTTTACACTAAGCCTTACATCTTTTCACCTTTTACTTCCATGTTCATTCTCATGTAAGACTTAAAAGTCTCACTTCCACTCCACGGAGCGCAAGCAGCCCAAAAGGCCTTTGCAATGTTGGGCCCTAAAGCCCAATGAGGCTCCGTGAGCGCTATCGAGGAACGAGAAACCCAGGAAGGAACACACCAGGCTAGATGGTAAAAGACCTTTATTAGTCTGGCCAGACAGCACTCTCAGAACCAAGTGGCTGGCTCAGAGAGGCCCCTAGCTCAGGGGCTGAGGTCCTCTTATAGGGAGTAAAAGAGGGGGGTAACATTTTGGGGCTCACAGACAGGGGGCCGGGCCGCTGCTCTGCTGACTTGAGCTGGTGGTCAGCAGTCACATGCTCAACAGTCACATATTGATGAGTGACAGGTACCACCCATAGGATGTCTCAAAGGTCACCAAGACACTCCGGATGAGCAAACAGTTTGTCAATTAACTTGGGGCTCTATGTCTGGAGTCTCTAATTTACAAGTAGATTCAGATCCAGACTTCAAACAATACAAGAGTGATACACATTCTTAGGCCAGGGCTGGAACAAAGGTCGGGGCTGTGGCTACAATGGGAGGGGTTCAGGACACTGTCTCCTAGGCCCTTTGCCATTTAGCAAGGGCTTGTAATTTAGGTCCCACACTCAAATATGAGGCACACCTTAATCACAGAAAGTTCTGTTCAAATATAGCACAGTTAAAAGGTAACACATAATGTGCTGCTACTTACCAATCTAACATGTATATTGGATCCATGTGATTTTCAATCTTTTGTAGCTAACAGTTGAAGCTCCACCTGGTGAAAAAATTGGATATGTTTATCAATATTTTCACCCATTTCTTCCAAAGTTTAAAATAAAAAATGAGAATAAGAAAGATGTACTGAAAATCAGAGGGCCATGTTTGGTTTCCAACTGTCTCTGGGATCTAAATTTTAATGTGAGTAATTCATAATTTGTTAAGATTATCATGTTCAAAGTAGTTAATGATTTTATTTTCTAATATATATAATTTATTCACATAATTAAAAGAAAAAATATAATATTACTATAATAATTTGTCTCTTTGTAAAAGTAGAATTACTTATTTAAGGTCTCCAGTGTAATTAAGCCTTAGTTGTTCACATATCTTATTAGGCACTATTTAAAAGTTTCTAAGTATATTCTTTTTTCTTTGTAAGTAAATTCTTATCAAAAAAACAAATTTGATAGTTATCATTTCATGGGCTAGTGTAAGAGAAATTAAACTTCATTGCAATGGACAATGATATAATCTGGTATTGTAGCTAACATGTCAGTATTAATACTGCAAAACCTAATGCCTTACTTCCACTCCCCGGAGCTTGAACAGTCCGAAGGCCTCCAAGATGCCTGGGCCCACAGTCCAGCGAGTGCTCTGGGAGCTTTGGGAGCTTGACGGAGAAATGAGAATCACCAGGAGAGGAACACACCAATAAGAAGACCTTTATTAGTCTGGCCAGACGGAACTCTCCAAGCCAAGTAGTTCAGAGAGGCAACTGCTTAGGGGCTGAGGTTATTTTATAGGGTTTTTCTAAACAAAAAAGTTCAAACATAGGTCAGGGCATTCACAGAACTACCAGGGGATAAGATTCCAAACACACTGCTTTTCTTATGCAGGAAATGTTTTATGGTCACCTTTTGTCATCCCATTTGTCCCTGGGTGGGCTGTTAACCAAGTTAGCAATTAGCATATGAAGGTTTGTTTGTAGTTTAAGCAGCTCTTTCTTGATGTTTGATAAAGAGAGGGGGAAGTACAGTCTCTGGCCCAGTCACATTAGCTCAGTCAGGTCCCACAAATACAGGTTTTACATTTTATAAAATTCTGAAACTTGTATGAAATAATTTTTAAACTTTTTTTTTTTTTTGCTTTTTTGAGACAAGGTCTCACTATGTAGTTGAGACTGACCTGAAACTCATTATGTAGCCCAGGGTGGCCTCGAACTCACAGTGATCCTCTTGCCTCAGCCTCCCGAGTTCTGGGATTACAGGCATGCACCACCATGCCCGGCTCTTAAACATTTTTGTATGCTCATTCACATCCAAGACTTTGGTCATTATACAGAAAATAATTTTGAAAATTGCTAGACATATTTACAGTTAATAAAATTAAATAATTTCATTTATGTAATGCTTAAAATTCCTACGCAACAAAAATCATTGCATTGATTTGATAAGATACTGGATATGCAAAAGTAGTGAACCCTAAAGGTTCAATAAGGACACTAAAAAATCTAGTTGGTCATTGAGCACAAGCAAACTAAAATCTAATTTTCTTTCCTTCCCTACAAATATGTCAATTCATACTAGTGTTACTGATTTTGATTGGCACCTGCCTTAAGTAAAATTAAGTATAATATATATAATCAAACAAATGAATGCTAAGAATATTTTAAATTTGGATAATAAATGAGCACACAGCATTTCATTTTATTTCAAATGAGTTTCCAAAGTAACAAAATTGTTTATACACAAAACTTTAATAGCCAAAACCACCTTGGCTTCTTTTTACTGATTAAAAATTACAAAATGCTTTTTGTGCATTATTGTAGCTCTTGCAGTGTGATGTAACAAATATTACTTTTCTAATGTACTTGAAGGTTTTCTAAGGTAATAAAAAACTTCGTATTTCTTCTGACTTTGAAGCAAAACAATGTTAAGGCCAGCACACTTGGTAAACTCCAAGAAGGAGGAATAAGAAAGCCCTCTTGTGCGCGAATGTGGATAAACCTTTTAATACTTCTGGCTAAGAAGAAAAGAGAGATAAAGTTGTAGCTAGTTACAGAGTCAGGACTGGGGTGAACCAAATAAGATAATTCATCATAAGTATAAAATATAAGGAGCACTGTAAGACTTAAAAGTCTCACTTCCACTCCACCGAGCATGAACAGCCAAAAGGCCTCCACGGTGCTGAGTCCTATAGCCCAATGATGGCTCTGGAGGCAAGACCCAGGGCCTTACTTCCAAAAGCCATGAACAGCCAAAAAGGCCTCCACCATGCTGGGCCCTAACACCCAGCGAGGCTCCGGGAGCTCAACAGAGAAATGAGAAACCCAGGAGGGAATACACCAGGCTAGATGGTAAATAGACCTTTATTAGTCTGGCCTGAAGGCACTCCCAGAGCCAGGTAGCTCAGAGAGGCAACTGCCTGAGGGGCCGAGGTACTTTTTATAGGGTTTTTCTAAACAAAGATTCAAGAAATTCACAGAACAAGACTGCAAACACATTGCTTATCTCAAGCAGGAAATGTTCTATGGTCACCTTTCGTCATACCGTTTGCCCCTGGGTGGGCTGTTAACCAAGTTAGCAATTAGCATATGAAAAAGCACAGTCTGGCCTATTAGCGTGGAGTCACTTTAGTTTATTCAAGTCTACAGCCCTAAGAAACTCAGTAATTAAAGTGAAACATACTTGAATGTAATATTTTTAAATAAAAATTAATTCCGAAAGTCCATTATGAGCAAATATCAAATATTTAGGTTAATTTTGCCTTAAATAACTTGTCTTAATATCTTAGGCTAATGCTGTTTCAGGCTAGATGAGCACAGGATGGAAGTGGAGGTATTTTTTGAATATCCTTAGCACATTCTGATTTTTTAAAGAAAAGAAAGGAGAAATGAGAGAAAAAATGTAAAGATTCAACAGACTTTGAGTACCTGATGAACCCAGTCTCTTATTTAATATGAGATCTAAGACACACATAATGAATTAGCCTCAAAAAGGCATAGAAATGGCCTGTTCACTATTTACAAGACTGTAGCAGAGAATAGATGATCTAGACCTGCATGTGTGACACTGATTTTAAGCCCCTCTCCCACTTCACTCCAATGGTGGTGCCTCCTCAGTCACAAAATGTTGTTTTCTCTCCCTGAGATTCTCTGTCTTTGAATTTCTCCTGATCCTCCAAATGTCAGCTTAAATGGTACTATAAGCAAGCCTCTTGTTGTAAAATCATCCTCTCGATTTGTTCATTCTGTTTATTGCCTCTCTATTCTACTCTCTCATATTGCCATACCTCTACCTCGTTGCAAGGCAAGTAGTAGGATTTTCCCAGCTTGGTTGTTTTGTATTTGCCTGAGTATCTCTTATGCTGAAAGAATTAATATTACTTGGTATAAGAAGTGATGCTTATGCAAACATATAATTTTTAATAAAAAATTAAAACTAAAAAAAGAAAAAAGAAAAAAATGATTTTCTAGTGAGTCTAAATAGGGAAGGGGGGATGAGAAAGAGAGACAATTGAAATCACTTTGGAAGTGGTGGATTAACTACAGAAAAAAAGCTGAGAAGTTAGTGTTTTTCATGTTATAATTAAACTGATTCTCGTATCAGAATTAGATAGAAATTGTCCGTAGATATTTGCCAGGCTGTCTTGTGCCCATATTACAAACTTTGTAGATTATGGGTATAATTTCTATGAATATAATTTATAAAGTTCTATTTCTATGAATATAATGTGCATTTCTAGTTACTACAATTGTTATAAGAATATCTTTTTTAATTCAGATATTTTCTGCTATCATAGATATATTTTTCCTTTTAGTTATTATCTCTGGATGAAGAAATTGTTATTGGAAATATTTCAAAGCATTGCTCTGGCTTTGTGACGGCACCATCACTAACAGATGCTGATACATTTAGCATCCAGTTTCCAATTGACCTTGATGTTAAAAATAAAGCATTGATTCTTGGAGCAAGTTTCCTTATTGTGAGTAGACTTTTATTCTACTTAGCTGAAAATTACATTTTCTGATCTTATCATTGCACCTTTGGTAATAGTTCTTCTCAAATGGTCTGGATCAAGTGAAAATTGTTCCTTTTTGATAACCTCAGTCCCTGAATTACATCATATATTTGGTGTTCACATTGCAAAGAAAGCAAATCTAGAGTGCCTTTGAACCATAATCAGTGAAGTTTAAAGTCTTTTTTTTAATGAAAAAAAATAATAACCTACTAAAAATAGGGGGGAAAAGGAGTATTCAATATGAATTACTTGTATTTGTTACAGTTTAAAATTTTATTAATATTTTTGTAGCATTTCATTTAAATGTAAATGTACTATTAATTTGGAAACTATAGATTTTGTATTAGCCCATCATGCTGCTATAACAAAATAATTGAGAATGAGTAATTTTAAATAGTATAAATTTATTTCTCATAGTTCTAGAGGTTGGAAGTACCAGATAAGATCAAAGCACTGGTGAGAGACCAATGTTTGCTTCAAAGATAGTATCTTGACTCCTGTGCCCTCTAGAAGCAATGAGCATTGTTCCCTCACATGGCAAGTTACCTAGAAAGACAAAAGGATTGGCTCATTCTCTTAAGCACTTCATTCAGCGAGAGAGTCCCATAGCCAAATAGTCTTCTAAGGGTCCTACCCTTAACAATAATGCACTGGAAATTAGTTGTAACATGAATCTAGAGGGACACTAATATCCAAACCATAGAAAATATGTAGAGATTTGAAAAAGAAAATATCGCTATTGAGTATATTTGGATTCTAGAGGCAAAAGAACATAAGAAGCTACCTTCATACTCCAAATGGTAGGGAATGTGAAGTCTGCGGGGCTAAGTCATTTATGAACTTGTAAAATGAAAAGTTTCAGGGAAAGAATCACGCAGGTGAGCAGCAGATTTGATCCATCTGAGAAAAAGTTGTAGACTGAGAGTTATAGATAAAGAAATGTTTCATACTGTAGAATAGAGACACAAAGAAATATAAAAGTGTGGGATTCCAAATGAAGAAAGGAGACCAAATAAATTATAGATAACTGCTAAGAAATTTCCAGAACAGAGAAAATTAAATTCAGTTATTCAGAAGACAAATATATCTCAAGGAGAGTAAACAAAAAATTAACATCTATTTAAATCACAAGGAAGCAACAGAATAGCAAAGAAAATTAAGCAACCAGAAAGAAAAAACTGATTGTTAACAGGCAGAAAATCAGATATACAATTGCCTATTGGGCAAAAACAGTAGAAGCCAGAAATCAGAATATCTTCAAAATGCGAATTTGAAAAACCCAGAGAACTTTAAATCTAAAATTCTATTTTCTTTCTCTTTCAAGCATGAGAACTAAGTAAAGATATTTAAATTAAGAAGAGGAAAAGTTTTACAAAATACATGTCACCTCTAAAGTAGGTCTTTTTGAAAAAGGTACTGTCAGACCTTCCAAGGAGGAATCCCACCACTCTAAATCTGGGACGTCAGGATGCACCATAAACACCCGGGAGAGACGATTCTTGATGCAAAACCCAAGAGGTCTTTATTCCAGCGTGCTGGGGCTCAGCTCATAACCCTCACAGGGGCAGAGGAGTTGAGCCCCGAAGCAGGGTAGAGACACAGTTTTTAAAGGAAAAAACCACAAGCTATAGGGTAGGGGGAATTCCGAGAAAGGGGTCAATTACGGGAACATTCAGTTACAAAGGGTGGGGACTTTGGGGAAGTGGGACCATGGATTGTTCAAAGGGGTAGGGTCTGTTCTGCACCAGACGTTTATCTTGGTTCCTGCCTCTCAGGAATGTTTAAAGCGACCTTTTGACCTGTCATGGTTAGCTGACTCTGCTAGGGGTTGGGCTCTTAGAGCTTCTTAATACTTTTCCTAACAGTACAAAAATTTGAGAGATTATCTAAAGCTGAAAAAATTTTGAGATCAAACAAAACTGTCCTTATAAATGTAAACACAGTTTTAAATATAACTATAAATAGCAAGTGGGACTGGGGATTTAGTTCAGTGGTTTCACCGCCTGCTTCGCAAGTGCAAGTTCCCAAGTTCAATCCCCAGTACCAAAAAAACAAGAAGATTCTCAATTCTCCCACAATATAAATAGCAAGTTCCTAATTTGTTAAGTTAAAAGAAAGCAAAACTAAAATACTAGCTAACAAAGCATATAAGTTGGAAAGAGAGCAATATGGGGGATGGGAGAGAGATAGAGTAAAATTAAAATATTTCAGTCATTGCCAGGATTTAGCTCAGTGGTTTTGGCACCTGACTCACAAGTGCAAGTTCCTGAGTTTGATCCCCAGTACCAAAAAAAAAAAAAAAAAAATTCAGTCATTGAATGGCTCAGGAGGTGGGCTAAACTACATATGCAGGTTAAAATTTCATGGATAATCACTGAAATACATAAAAGACTATACATTTCAAAACAAAAAATATGGGAATAAAATATAAGGAAGTAAAGTCATTTTGAAAAAGTAGCAGAAAAATATACAGAAAGCAGAAAACACAGAAGCACATAATTTAAAAGAAAAAGTATTTACCTATCCATCTTATCAAAATGTCAATTAAATATATTCTATGCACGGTTTTATAGTAATTATCAACAAATGCAAATGCACAAGCTCACCAGCTGAAAGGTAGAAATTCAGCTAAGACTTGGAAACAGCTTCTATGCCCACCCACAATGAATAGATAGGAAAATGTGATATTTATATACAATGGAGTACTACTGTGCCATAAAGAAGAATAGATTGATTCACTTGGATACCATAATGTTAAGTGAGAGAAATCAAATAAACCATACGTTGAAGTAGCACATGGTTTCTGTTATATGAGAAGCACATGCTATACAGAACAAAATAAAAAATAGATAATAGGAAGCGGACACATCCTTTTCAAATAGGAAGGGGAATAAGAGAGGGAGAGAGCAATGAGTGTTGGGAGGGAGGAAGGGGACAAAAAAAGAACAAAGATGTGTTCTGTACATGTACACATTCTCCACGATAAATGTAATCATTATGTACTGCAAATATGTACTAATAAAAAAAGAAAATAAATTAAATCTTACTTTATTCCAGAATAAATTACTCAAATTTGTTACTTTGGTGTTTTTAGAAGCAGTCAATCATTCTTATGCTCTTAGATTTTGGCACCCGAGAGTTTTGATTCTGAGATGTTTTTGTTTTATTAATATGTTATATTCCTGGTATCATAGCACAATGCCTAAGAAACTTTCATATGTCTGATACCTTTAGCTGTTTCTACTATTTAGTCAACCTAATTGCATCTATTTGTCATTTTTTCTTCTAGGACTACATGTACTTTGAAATCTGGCCCTAAGAATCATCTTGAAAGACTATGCCAGAGATTACTTGCATTAGGTGATGCCAACACTCAGCAAAATTAAATAACTTCCACTGAAAATGTATATTTACTTTGCTAAAATTATTCATATGAACTTTTCTGTATCACAAGCCCTGCTAAAATTCATTAACATGATATAATCATTATGTTTAGCTCAGGAGAATGCTCTGGTAGTTCTCACCAGGACCTGGCTCATTTATGTGTGCACAGTCAACTGAAAGATTGAATGCTGACTCATCCCAGAAGGCTTTATGCCCCGGCCGGCGGGGTTCGTTATTAGTAGGGCTCGAGGAGGGGACCACCCGGAACGGGAACGGGAACGACGCAGGAAGACAGGAACCAGACAGAGCTCTTTTAGATGGTCAAAATTTGACAATTTTTATTTCTCACACAGCAGCTTTTATGCAGGCAGGGATGAGCAGGGAGTTTCCTGGTTGCTAGGTTACCTAACCTAGGCTGGTCTAGCTAGATAAGGTAGGGCATGGCCAGAATGTTCCCGGGAGGGGTCAGAATGTCCCCAGGAGGGTGTAAAGTTCCTATCAGGGGCACACACGGAGGGTGGAGACACACAGGGGTCTTGGTCTCCTACATCTCCTCCCTTTCTATTAAATTTAAAAGAAGCCGATTTAGTAAAATGAAAAAGAATACCTTGTCAATCCTATTAATTCTTGAATCAACTTATAACTAAACTGAAGAAAAATTTTAATTCAAAAATGAACTTATCATTAAACTATGAAAAAACCTTAAATCATCTTATAGCTACTCTAGGAAGAAACCTTATGATATTTATTAGATTTAGAAGAAGCAATTCTATATTTAATAGTTTCAAAAGAAGCAAAATAGAATAGAATAGAGCCATTCATGTCAAGACTTAGGGCCTAAAATTTAGAAGGAAGCCAAATAGAAGGAAACTCAATGACATCCAGATTGAACAACATCCTGTGGCTTTTATGGGCTGCTTGTAGAGGCCTCTGGCAGAGGCTGGTAGGCGTTAACCATAGAGGGGGAGTATTGAATTGACAACTTCGACAGAAGCCCCTGTCTTAGGTTGATCAGCCAAGCATTTGACTGTCTTACCCGTCATTGGGGTCATCTGTAGCGAGAGAGGGGCGATCTCTGAGAGATCTTTAATTATCTCCTGAGGTCTTTTGGAGATTGTGCCCACAAGAACTCAGAGATTGTTGGTATTAGCCCCTATGTGGTCAAGTTTGCTCCTCAAGGGACTCAGACAGGTACACGTGCGCATTAGTACCTTCCCTCCCTGGGTATTTAGTCCCAGGCCTCTGTAGGTGCCTATACCCACGTAGGTGATGGGTATGCTAGCTCTGAGTACTAGCTGGTTCCACCAAGGAGTCTTCTGTGCCTGTTGTTGTAGTCAACAGGATTTGTCCAATTCTAGATTCATTGAGTTTCTATTTTTTTTTTTTTTAAATTTTTGAGATAATGCTCTTACGGCCCATATTGGAAGGGGTGGAAGGTCCTCTTCAGCTACACCACGGTCAATTAGATCGAGGCGATGGTAATAAGCTTGTATAGGCTTGTCCTGGATGGCATCTATTTGTTCCTTAACAAAGCTAGTAAGCTTTCTAAAAGCCCAGGGTCCAAAGGAGATAAGAAGTAACAAGCATAGTAGGGGCCCCAATATGGAGGGCAGTAGGGTAGATAGCCAGGAAGATGAAAACCAATTTTGGGACCAATTCTGGGATTGGGCCCTCTCCTTCTTCCTCTTCTCTAAACCTTCTCTGACCTTGGCCATAGCATCCTTTACAACTCCAGAGTGGTCTACATAAAAGCAGCACTCTTCCTTGAGTGCAGCACATAGGCCTCCCTGTTGGAGGAAAAGTAAGTCTAAGCCTCTCCTATTTTGCAGGACAACTTCAGCAAGGGAAGTGAGGGAAGTCTCAAGGTGGGAGATGGCGGTCTCCAGTCGTTCGATGTCCTCATCTATGGTCAGGCTGAGTTCTGAATAATACTTGTTGGAGAGAACGAGAGAGGTTATGCCCGTCCCGGCCCCTACAACCCCGAGGGAAATTAATATAGCTAATGTAATTGCTGTTATAGGTTCTCTTTTTGGTCTTATGAGGCTGAGCTCATCTTTTGGAAAAAAGGTGGAGAATTGTTCTGAGGAATAATATGTCATCCTGGGAATTAATTGGACCAGGATACAATACATGGTCCGGTTTCTTTTGAGCAAGTCTCCTGAAATACAGGGGGTGAGGCCATCATTGCAAGCCCACCAAGCATTTTCAGGAGGAATTATATAAGATCCTGATTGAATTGAAGTATAATTGATATGAGTCTGGTTACATAGGTGTCGGTGGGTTTTAGGCACCCTTCCCAAGCATAGGCCAGAACCTTGTACTGACTGCAAGGTGAGTTTAGCAGGGCCTTGTTGAAACCATCTGCATTTTGTATGATCTTGAGTGACAGTGTAAAATCCTGAAACTGTCACGCCCTCATAAAAAGGAGGTCTAACATTATAACAGAGCCAACAAGATTGGGTCAATTCAGGGTTGGAATAATTTAGAGCTAGGAAGGCATTCTTGACAAGATTAACTAGAATTTCCTCAGTGTCTCTGGGAGGACGAAGTGTGGTAGGTCTCGGTAGAATGTCCGTGGATCCGGGCTCGCCAGGTCCGGGCAGCAGTTCAGGTGTTGATCTTTTGATTCTCCGAGCAGCGTGCACCGGGTGAAGACCCCGTTCCTCGAGCCCCACGTTTGGGCGCCACTTGCCCCGGCCGGCGGGGTTCGTTATTAGTAGGGCTCGAGGAGGGGACCACCCGGAACGGGAACGGGAACGATGCAGGAAGACAGGAACCAGACAGAGCTCTTTTAGATGGTCAAAATTTGACAATTTTTATTTCTCACACAGCAGCTTTTATGCAGGCAGGGATGAGCAGGGAGTTTCCTGGTTGCTAGGTTACCTAACCTAGGCTGGTCTAGCTAGATAAGGTAGGGCATGGCCAGAATGTTCCCGGGAGGGGTCAGAATGTCCCCAGGAGGGTATGAAGTTCCTATCAGGGGCACACACACACACAGGGTGGAGGGGCACACACGGAGGGTGGAGACACACAGGGGTCTTGGTCTCCTACAGTTTTAGTCACTTAATCTGGATACTAGCTGGAACACTAGAGGAAACGGTGCACACATCTCATTGTCTACAAGGTTAGCCAAAGCACTTTTAAATTTTGAATTCATTAGTACATGTTTGCAGTACATGATGTTTACATTCTTGGTGGAGAGTTGGCACATGCACATAACACATCCCAGTTCTTTTTTCTCCCCTCTGCCTTCCCTCCTTCCCCGCTCCATCTGTTGATGCCCTTCCAGTTTGAGAAAGTTCTGTCTCCGTACTTCCTATTACCTATCTTTTATGCATGATAACTATGTTACAAAAGGAGCAAGGAAGAAAATTCAAATGTTCGAGCTCATTTAAGCTAAAGCAAGTTCCACCACTTAGCCTGGATTCAAGGGTTAGAAAAATAGACTCAGTATCTCTATGGGAGCTGCTACAAAATATTATGCCCTCCCCAAGACAATTTATCATTGTCTAGGCTATGGTAATGATTATTTACATTTTCCTAATATACAAAGTATTCTCAACACTCATAGTATTGCCGGAAGTCTGTTTCAAGTCTGGCATCGAGGCCCAAGACAGGTATCAGAGGGTCAGTATGTTTTATGAATGCAAATGAACACATGCAGATTTAAAGTTGACTAAAAAAGCCACTGAACCATTCATTAGTTGGTTAAGGCCAAAATAATTATAACCAATGAATGGAATCTATATGGTTGTCACTGGTCCCTAGTAAGTCTAGATTTGTTGCTTGCTTCCAGTTTCTCTTACCCTTGGAATAGAGCATGGCCTGTTGGATGTGGCTCTTTTCTCCACTGTTTTACTCTGCCCTCTGTGATTTTGGTTTTGCTGCTGAGGCATTTGTCTTTTTTAAGCAAAATAGCCATGTATTTATCTGGATACATTTGCCGATTTTCTTTTTGTCTATAAAAATTGGAAACAGAGATTTCTTTTCATTTTGAAACTTTTCAGTCTTTTGGAGTCTGTGTTTGTACAACTCTCTTAAAAGCTAGAATTATGTGAGCTTCTGTGTATCAGATTTGGTCTGCTCAACTGAAAAGCCATATGACAATTTTAAAAGTCAGACTTCTCTCCCTGAACTTAGTCTTAGCTAGGCTACTTTATATGATAGATAATTTCCAAAAAAGCAGAAAAAGAACATACTCTTAAGCACAAACATTTTTCAAGCCTACTTTATATCACATTTGTTAATGTTCTACTGGCCAAAGAAAGACACCTGGCTAAATCTACATTCTAGGGATATTGAAAGAGACTGTACTTCTTCACAGGAGGAACTGTAAAATATTGTGGACCTTTTTCACAGTCTAGCATACTACTTTATGGGTGATTTTTCTTAATTTGTATTACCTAAGAAATAGTTTTTAATTTATAATCTTTTTGTTTGTTTGTTTTTGTTTTTTTGAGATAGGGTCCCACTATATAGTTGAGACTGACCTGGAACTCACTATGTAGTCCATTTTGTCCGGTAGAGAACTCTATCACCTACTACAAGATAAAATGGCAGTGATAGACTCTGGAAAATAGAACAATAACTACCATATTACTACTATGTACCAGACTCCCTATACTTTATATTTATCGACACATTTAATTTTTGTATTAATTTTATAGGTAAATTTAAGGTATATGATATAATAACATTTATCATTGGAAATTTGTACATTTACATAATTCATCTTGGTTCTTGTTTTTTCCCCATTCCCCTGCCCTCCTTTCAACCCTTCCACCCCTCCTTATCTACAAAGACTTTGTTTCCATTTTTTCTTTTTCTCATATTAATTTCAGTCCCTTCTTTCTATTCCTCTACCCCTCCCACTTCCCCTTCCCTTTTGCACTTTTTCTTCCTATTCACACTATCTATTATACCTTTGATTCCTTATTTACACTTTCAGTTTCTCATACTAGAGAAACTATTTAGTATTTACACATATGGACACGTTTAATATTAACAAA